GAATGGAAATGCGATCAGTGACTTATAGCGTTACTGCAGGACTGCGGCAAGCATTCTGATACTGGGGGGAACTGACTAACTGTCAATGACATCCCCAGTGACACCAATACAATGATCAGTGCTAATAAAAAGCACTGACACTGTACTAATGACATTGGGCAGGAAGGGGTTAACATGTGGGGCGATCAAAGGGTTAACTGTGTGCTGTTTTACTATGTGTGCTGTGTGTGTGTTTTCAGTGTCAGCACATTGCTTTGTATTGCTGTGCTATGCACAGCAGTACAAGCAGTGTGCTGGAACTGACAGGGGAGCTGACATTGGAGATATCTGTATTGTTTACATACAGACCTCTCCCCCGTCACCCCGTCAGTGATACTCAGCAATCACCGGGTGCCGTTGGGGAATCTCCGGCCGGGACCCAGTGATCGACAGCTGAAGCCGCCAATGGCGTGTGCGCCCCCTACCCGAAAATACTAAATCACGTATATATACGTGATTTTGCACAGCCCTGCCGCCTTGTAGCAGTAGTTCTATAGGGCGGTCATGAAGCAGTTAACAACCACTGCACCAAAAGATTACAGCAGTGGGCGTTTGAGCATGAATCGAGGAGGGTTTCATCTAAAGGAAGAGACAGCAGCACAAGGGACTCATCCTACTGACTGTAGGTTATGTCCCTTGTCCTGATTTCTTTTTTTTTTTTTTTGCTTTTTATTTTGGCCTCACTTAGGCTTTTACCTATAAAATACATAGGTGTGAATAGAGCCAAAGTGTGGGGTGTGTACTACTTATCTACACACTCCATATTTTGGCTCTATTTACATCTATGGAGCATGAATGGTGGAGGATTTCACCGAAAGAAAGAGACATCAGCACAAGGGACCCATCCTTCTGACTGAAGTTTGCTGCACATAGGCTTTACCAGATAAAATACATAGGTGTGAATAGAACAAAAAGTATGGGTTATGTACTACTGGTTTAGCAAATCTATACAATGGACATTAGAGAAATAAAAGCAGAACTAGCAGAGCCCATAGAACAACCCTCCCTGTCTTCAGTCAGTTGGAATGACCTCTCTGATACCCGGCCACTCTTCGAGATTATATTTACTCTAGCAGTGCCTGGAGCACAGGATGAAAAACCATAGTTTGAAAGTTCTTGGAGTTCAGTGACCATGTTGAAGAAGGCAGTCTTCTCGTTGCTTCCTGGCTTAGCAGTTGCCTGTTGGTGAGCATGGCAAGAAGAGCCTGTGCTGCCAACGCTCAATGGGTCATGTGAGGTCTGGTTGTATGGGGTCAACGCACATTGCACTTGACCTAATTAATGCATGCCTGCAATCTTGTCTAGTATGAGCACATTTGGTGCTTTCGGAAATGTATCTTATTGAACAAGCTGTTTGTCCTACAGTATGATAGTAGGAACATGCCTTGGCATGTCTAGTACTAACATGCTTGTTACTAGTTCATACAGTACGGTGTTTATGTCACAGCAGGAGCCTCTGGTCAGTAAGAACACCCTTCCCCACCCTTTCTCCTCCTGTATAATATGGTTCGCAATGACTTTTCCAAGGACACTTTGCTGCTCATGTCAATAAAAAAAGAAAAAAAAGGTTCAAAATCAACAAAAACAACCAAATTAACCTAACAGTATGCGTTAAAAACAGGGGTTTAGTTAGCACACATCTGCAAATACATACGTAAGCCATAGAGCCACATCACGGCACCCTGGTATTCTGTGGTACTAACTCTACAAATTTTGAGAGCCCTACATTTGCAATACGGCTTACGTATGTATTTGCAAATGTGTGTTAACTAAACCCGTTTTTATTTTTCTAATTGTACCTGGATGTGAAACTACCTTGTGCCTGGCTGCAGGGTGAAGTTAAAGTAAATACAAGAAAAAAGAACCACAGCGCCCAGGACCACCTTCCCAACCCACTCTTTACGTGAAATGTACACAGGTATAAAACCACAAAATTTCTTCAACTCAAAAAACAGCGCAAAACACTAAAAACAGTCTGTATATGTGAAATACCTTATCCTATAAGTAATATTAATACAAATATTACAATTTTATATACGTGTCAAAAAAAACAAAAAAATCTAACGACACATAAAGAATTTCATGAAAATATAAGTTTTTTTTGGTCACTGGATGTTTTTTTGTATGTGTCACTGGACTTTTTTGTATGTGTCACTGATTTTTTGTTTTTTGTTTTTTGTATGTGTCATTAGATTTTTTTGTTTTTTTGACACTTATATAAAATTGTAATATTTGTATTAATATTACTTATAGGATAAGGTATTTCACATATACAGATTGTTTTTTGTGTTTTGCACTGTTTTTTGAGTTGATGAAGTTAAGAAAGACCTGGACATTACTACAGCAGCTCCTACGGGGGGTAAGCGCTACATGTGCCTAATGTGTTTAGGTGCATTTAGATGAGTTCAAATGCAATATTCCCAATGCCGTTCTGAAGTTGGCTGTAAATGTAAATTGGTGCTGCAGAGACCAAATGGCTGGAAACTGAAGACATCAAAGGCAAGAAGTATGTCACCAACACACAAAGACTCTCCATAGTGGGTTCAAAGTTTTATTCAACGATCACATCATGGTAACAATAGAGACTTTTCTGATCTCCGCAGAACACCTCTGTCAGGCATGTCACAATCAATGGCTTTAAAATGTCGCTATTGTTACCATAATGTTATCACTGAATAAAGTTTTGGACCCACTTTGAAGATTCTTGGTGTGCTGGTGACATACTTCTTGCTTTAGACACATTTAGGCACGCCAGGTGTTTTGGCATTCACTCATTTCATTGGCCAGAATAATAATTTAAAATATATAAATGCTCAAGTTCTAAACATGCCTAGCATTTAGGCACATTAACACGGTATTAGGCACATTGGATGTTTTTGCACCAAATGTTCCTCTCCTGAACATGCTGGCACCAAGATTTTAGTTTTTTTTTCTGGAATAAAAAAAAAAGAAAGCCACTTCACAGTTCTGGGGATTTGAAATCCCCGCGGCTTTTTCTCCTCTCTTTGCAGGGATGACAGTGTGGGCTAGATGGCTTCTGATTGATCAGCACCGTGGCAGTGACAGGAGAGAACGCCTTGGGGATCTCAAATCCCTAGCAATCCCTTCTGTGCCAGTATGGGATCGGTCAAGCTTGGATTTACAGAAGAGTTGAGGGGAAACCACATGCTATTTGGATAGGAATTGCATTCCTGTTCAAATCGTATGCTATTCTTTGCGATTTCTATACATTTTCCATACGCATCCATACGGATATCGCACCGCAAAGTATCAGTACTCGGTATTGGCAAGTGCAAAGTCCACTGGTTTTTCTCCCAGCAGTTCGGGTTGTGCCAGGGCGGACTGACAACTCATGGGGCCCCCGGGCAATAGGGGATCATGGGGCCCCTGTGTCCTTGCCCAAACTCAAAAAAGCCTATGAAAAAGGTACCAGGGGACATCTCATGGGGCCCCCTACCGACCCCGGGCCCTCGGGCAGTGCCCGAGTTTCCAAATGGTCAGTCCGCCTCTGGGTTGTGCTAACCATTCATCAGACTTGTGGCTTTGTCGCCAACACTCTCATTGAAATCATCACATACAATGCACAACCAGCAGCCACCATTGGTTCTGCACTGTATGTGATGATGTAGGAGTGCCTGCCAACATTCCAGTACTGAGGAGAGAACCAGAGTCACAGATACCACAAGAAGCTGGATTAAGGTTTAAATTAAAATACGAATTTAAAAACCAAGCAATAAATATTTTACAGGGAGATGGGGGATACATTTAATAGAGTAACCAGAGTTTAGCTTTTAAGGTAAAACAAATGGTGGTTTAGCGTGGTATGGACAATGTTTCTTTCCTGAGACTTTTGTGACCTGCGCTGTGACTATGCATGGCTGGCATTTACAGCCAAGTTCATTTCATTCCTTACATATCTTGGCCCCCTCCTTTGCAAAGAGATCATATACAGCAGTCAGCACTAGGCAAATATTGAGATGCAGCATAAAAAAAAACCTCAAAAATCTAAAGAGTAACTCCACTTTCGTTTTAATAAAAATCCCTCTGGGAGATCATTGTGCATTGCAGGGTTTTTAGCAAACTGTGTAGCAGATTCCTAACTTTTGTTGCTCTAATGAAATAACTGTTTCACTGTATCCTTTGTAGACTGATTCTGAATGGGAGGGTCTGTGTTCATTGAAATCACTTGGTACACTCACAGTGTTCTAATGAGAACCATTGCAGTGTCTGCATCTCCCTAAGAACTGTTTAACCTTTGGGGAGTATCTCACCAAAACTGATATTTCTGTTGCAGAGAATGCATAAAACTAACTTGTATCTTAGTACAGACTTCTTGTAAAATCAAAGAGCCAATCACGCAAGCAGAAGTTACATATCTGTGGCCATTCTGTAAACTAACAGTGAACAGAACGCCTCCAGGTTTTCATATTGCATTGAATTTTACAGAAAATGACAGATTAAAAAGGAAAGGTAATTTTTAATAACATGAAATTACATTATGCTATGTTATTTACTTTTATTTGCTTTATTTTTTTTCCATGAAAGTGGAGTTACCCTTTAAATATAACTGAGAAAATAAAGAAAACACAACACAATATGTCGCAGAAAAGGTCAGGAGGGTGAACCTAGGTCAGTGTCTTATTGACAGTTGTAAAATCAGTGTCAGTTCCAACTACAAGAGAACAATGCTGTTCCGTGTGCAGCTTATCGGAACGCCAATTACTAATCAATAATCTTTGAACAGAGCCATTCTCTGATGAGGAAGGGGAAGGTCGTTCACATTTCACATTTAGATTAACATTTGTTTCTTTAATGACTGTTATTGTGATTTTTTTCTTTTATTGGTCTCTGTGGAGAAGGACATTTACCATTAAGAATTTAGTTTCTATGATTTCTAGTTGCTTTTGCTACATTGCTGTATTATATCTCCTTGAAGTTAAATTGGCATTAAACTCCAATTTAAATAAAAAATCTATTAAAGTATGTATTTATAACTCATAAAAGTCCCTTCTTTTGCTCTTAGATACACCAAATGTCCAATTTTTTTTGCTGCTATAACTTCCTGTTAGAGGGTGGCTACTTTTGCTCACCATGGTCCCACTCAGGGGCGGACTGACCATTTGGAAACTCGGGCACTGCACCCCACTATTGGGGAACCGATCGACCAGCTGGTGCTGTACTATAGTAAACCAGAAGTGATTTTTTTTTTTTTTTAAACCAGAAGCAATGGCCTGACATTACTTTCAGTTTACACAGAACTAAACAGCGCCCAGGGGCGGACTGACCATTTGGAAACTCGGGCACTGCCCGGGGTCAATAGGGGGCCCCATGAGATGCCCCTGGTACCTTTTTTTATAGGCTTTTTTGAGTTTGGGCAAGGACACAGGGGCCCCATGATCCCCTATTGCCTGGGGGCCCCATGAGTTGTCAGTCCGCCCCTAGTCCCACTGTATGTAGGAGAGTAGCCCCCTCTCTTGCTTGCTTCCAAGATGGACTATGGCATTTGTAGTAAGAATAGAGCAGTGTACATGACCACAACTTAGAACGGAGTTCCACTCACCCTGTCACAAAATAAAAGTCAGAAGCTGCAAAAACTGTAGCTGCTGACTTTTAAAAAAACAGCAACTTACCTGTCCCTCGGTTCCGTGGTGTGTTCCCTGCAGTTTGTTTTACCGGCCGTCCTGTATTCCAGGAGGCATCTTCATTGTGGGCACCTAGCTGTGATATCTTGTGGCTTCACAGCCGGGTACCCACTGCGCAAGCGCAAGTAGTGCTGTGCTTTATGAATGGTCCTGTAGTCTTCTGGGACCTGTCACGTGTCCCAAAAGACTACAGGGAGGTAGGGAGGACACCTTCCGCTTCCGGTCACCTAGGCAATCGGACCGGAAGTGGGAGCGGGTATCTGTCAAATTCAGGTACCCGCCCCCCCTGCCCCCCAAAGGTGCCAATCTTTAATGGGGAGCGGGGGAACAGTCCTTAAAGCGGAACTTCCCCTTTTAGGTGCAGCTCAGCTTTAAGTGCACTGCTCGTTCCAAAAAAGGAAAAGGAGAGGGAAGAGGAGAGGTCCGCGAGCTCACAGACAACTTTACAAGGCAGAAAGACAGAGTACGAAACTATTTCATGAAAAAATAGATTATGTGGCCATTAAAGTAGTGGATGTGTATGGATTGGTTTTGGAGAATATATATATTTCGTGTCACTTTAAGTTACATCTGTCCCACTATTGCGTTTTAGGCCAATGACACAAAGATCAATCACTAATTAACAGCAATTTGTAGCTGGCAAATGAATTCCTAGAGTTGCTGGTGATTTGTTGCAGCATTGGGTTGTGGTCTGCTACAAATTGCCCTCCTTCAGCATGGCGATTGCTGCAACATTTCACAGATTAAGAAACGACTGTCGCTAGTAATTTTGCTGCTGAGCCGAATAGCCGATGAATCTCGATTGCTGAGCTGCCACGACAAAATGCTTAAAAAATGTCACTATTAGTGATTAAATAGGAAATCATTATGATTTTCTCAGTGTAACGCTACCCCTGCAGGGGCCACTTTATAATGCTTGTCCCCAGTTGTTGCCCTGACCTATCAAGCCTCCTGACACCTCTGACACTCTGGGTTCAAGCACATACTATATTGCCAAAAGTATTGGGACACCCCTCCAAATCATTAGACTCAGGTGTTCCAATCACTTTCATGGCCACAGGTATATAAAATCAAGACCCTAGGCATGCAGACTGCTTCTACAAACATTTGTGAAAGAATGGGTCGCTCTCAGGAGCTCAGTGAATTCAAGCGTGGTACCGTGATAGGTTGCCACCTGTGCAGTAAGTCCATCCAGGACATTTCCTGGCTACTAAATATTCCACAGTCAACTGTTAGTGATATTTTAATAAAGTGGAAGAAACTGGGAACAACAGCAACTCAGCCACAAAATAATAGGCCATGTAAAATGACAGAGCGGGGTCAGTGCATGCTGAAACGCACAGTGTGCAGAAATCACCAACTATCTGCAGTGTCAATAGCTAAAGACCTCCAAACTTTGTGTGGCCTTCAGATTAGCACAACAACAGTGTATAGAGAGCTTCATGGAATGGGTTTCCATGGCCGAGCAGCTGCATCCAAGCCTTACATCATTACATCACCAAGTGCAATGTGAAGAATCAGATGCAGTGGGGTAAAGCACACCGCCACTGGACTCTAGAGCAGTGGAGACGTGTTCTCTGGAGTGACCAATCACGCTTCTCTGTCTGGCAATCCGAAAGACCTGTCTGGGTTTGGTGGTTGCCAAGACGTGCCTGACTGCATTGTGCCAGTGTAAAGTTTGGTGGAGGGGGGATTATGGCGTGGGGTTGATTTTCAGGGGATTTGGCTTGGCCCCTTAGTTCCAGTGAAGGGAACTCTTAAGGCGTCAGCGTACCAAGACATTTTGGACAATTTCATGCTCCCAACTTTGTGAGAACAGTTTGGGAATGGCCCCTTCCTGTTCTAACATGACTGTGCACCAGTGTACAAAGCAAGGTCCATAAAGACATGAATGAGGAGTTTGGGGTGGAGGAACTTGACTGGCCTGCACAGAGTCCTGACCTCCACCTGATAGAACACCTTTGGTATGAATTAGAGCGGAGACTGTAAGCCAGGCCTCCACATCCAACATCAGTGCCTGACCTCACAAATGTGCTTCTGGAAGAATGGTCAAACATTCCCATAGATACACTCCTAAACCTTGTGGACAACCTTCCCAGAAGAGTTGAAGCTGTTAAAGCTGCAAAGAGTGGGCCAACTCAATATTGAACCCTACGGACTAAGACTGTAATAGCATTAAAGTTCATGTGTGTGTAAATACAGGCATCCCAATACTTGCAATATAGTGTATTTCAACAGTATGAAATAATAATGCAAGAGACAAAATTCTTTAGTAACACCTCTATATTAGACTTGTTCAAAAGAGTAGACTATAGGAATAATTGGTTTAGAATATACAACCCCAATTAATGCATAAAAGCAGAACACTGGTAAAATAGGAATAGCTAATTAGCAATGTTTAACAGATTATAAAGTCATAAGTAATAAGCTTCAACTATTTAACTGCAACACCAGCAGCAAGAGGGGGAAGAAAAAGCTTGTTGACTTATCAGCTCTGTCTGTGTCACTGGCACCACAACAGGGCATGCAGAGAATGTAAATATATACTCTGGCATAAATAGATTTAAATACCCTAAACTGAATAACAATAGCCTTAGAGAAAAGGTCCCTTTAACTAGAGATTGCAACTTGAGTCCTGAGATGCTTAAAGTTCCTGATATGGTGGTATCTGCTGTCTTCTGCTAGCAATGGTGGGGCCCATAGGCATTAGTGAATACTGGTAATTCAATGAACTTAAACAGATAAGCCGTGATAATGCTTAAAGCAAAGGTCTTCTGGTAACTGAGGTGTAAAGATGTCTGCATGCAGTGTCTTTAGTTTGATGACAGAAAGAGGTTAGGCATCAGCCTGCTCACCAATCCTATGGATAGCACGGTCTCCTAGAAACGAGCGTTCTTGGACATTGACTGTTTACAGGAAAGTGCAGATTTACTGCCTGATGGCCTGTCAGTGCAGCGAGCAGAGATGTCTGTTTGAAGACTGGACAGTGTCATTCCAGATGCAGAGAAGCTGATGCAATCCCCGGTGTCGCAATCGCTGTCACCACCATGCTGAACTGATGTGCAGAGTCCCACAGCAGTAGGCCAGCAATCTGTCTCTGGAGGAGAATGGCAGTCCCCCTGTGTTCAACTTGAATCCCACACCAAGAGAGAAAGACAGTCCCCTGCTGTAGAATATATCTGCTCTCCCAGCATCCCTCTCTTTCGCCAGCTCTCTGGTAGTTGTAGTTCAATCAGCACTTAGAAATACAGGATGTATTATCTTAAGGTTCTACAGGTCCCCAAGGTCCTCTGCTGTCAGAAGAACTGGATCCACTCTGCTAACAGGAAGTGATGTAGTAGTCCAAGTACTGGGCACTAGGGGGTAAAAGGATTAACCATAGTCTCTGAATGCCATAATGATATAGCCAGCACCTGGCTACATCATTTATGTGTTTCCTTTCCATGTGCATTTTGCTGTAAAGGCTAGTTATAGGTTGGGGTGGTTGCCAGTTGCCATCTGTTTTGTACTGTGTGTCTAATGCACCACTGCATATTAACAATGCAGTATTAATTAATGCAACAGCCCCGGACAACTCACTCAACAATCTAGCTTGAGTATCACCAGTTGCAGACACTTGTTTGTATAGTGGAACAAATCATACATTTGAGGCCTTGCAGTCTTCCCAGGGTCATATTCTCATGTGAATACATGCTTTGCATGGATGTTTCTGGTCAACTGGAGCCTGGTTAGGATACAATATCTTCATTGAGTTTGGTAGGTCTTTTAAGGCTCCCCTGTTAAAAAGGGTTAAAGCACACTGCTCTTTGGGTAGCTTCTCACATTTAGCCACTCTCAATAAGGCTAAAGTAGGGTTCAATATCATCCTCCAGGGACAATTTCCATAAAACATTCCTCGCCAGCTGTCAAGCTGTAGAAGTTGGCCCCTGTGCCTCCATTTGCCTCTCTAACAGCATCTGTATCTGCTGCTGTAGAGACAGACTCACTTGCTCCTGTCCCTCTAAGGAGGCCTGGTGGTCTACAGTCAGCTGTTGAACCTGTTGGGCAGTTAAGTGGTTCACCTATTGCTGGTTATCATTTGCCAATATGAGCTGTTTTACAAGCTCTTCCATTTGCAGGAAAAGGCAATGACTGCATCCGAGCACCAAGTTCTAAGCGGGTCCTGCTCAAGTGATATTGGCAATGGTAAACCATGCCTAAGACAGGGACACCCAGGTACATTCCAGACAAATTTTCTGCTCACTTGTATGCAGCATGGCATCAAATACAGTTTCAATGAAAGGGATAGGATAAAACAAGTCAACTTAATAAAACAAACAATACATCTGCCACTAACTGACTTAAGCTTGGCATACACTAGTAAAATTTTGTTTAAACAAATTTCATTTTTAAAACATTTGTTTGATTTTCTAATTGTTGGTGGAGTCAAATCGATGTATGTTTTTGGATTAAGTTACAAGAAAAGTTGAAGTAGGGTGGAATATTTTCCCTCAACAAACCAAATTCTAACAGCAAAATGTTTTTTGTTTGGGAAAGTCCATTCATTCCAAAATCAAATATATTCATCTGGATGAAGAAAGTGATAGATCATGGAATCATATAGAATAGTGAGATAATGCTTGACACTCTATTGAAACTGACTGATACAATAAAATTGCATTGGATGCAGCCACAGGCTGCCAGAAGTGGGTTCCACAGACCTTGCTGCTGAGTGTTGGGCTGAGTTAGACAGACTAACCCTCAGCAACTCCCACTTGGTGAAGAGAATCCCAGTATAACCAACAACAGCGCAAACCTGGTCTAGCTAGGGGCCAGTGGAGGA